GCGGTTAGGATAATGCACCGATAAGTTGGAAGTATCATCGTATTTCTCCTCAGTCGCTTAAACACACAAAACGGCCTTTCACTCATCTAGAGCATTGGTTCAGCACACATAAGGGACGGGTATGCCATTACCCAGAGCCGTGAATCTCTTACTCTTGTAGTACTATGGTATGTTTGGTGATCCGAAGCCTTTCATGGTTATGTCAGGGTAAAGTCTACAGCTTTCCTAAGCTACTAGTTTTTTTTGGAATGATAGATAGATCGGAGAAACAGACACCAACGACTAAGAAACGGTCCTTTCACCCCCATACCGCCCCGCCTTGCCCTCAACAAGTTCCTCATGGGTAAGCTGCCTGACGTGTGTTGTTGAGCGCATATGCATATGCGGCTTTCAGCCATATACTTACACTGGATTCGGCAAATAACTTCCAATTGGCTGATTACAAACCAGTCGTGATTCCTTTGACCCCTTTTGACTCAAAGTGTGGTTATCTCCCTGGTTTGGCAGGTTAATTACCGTGTTGTTTGTTGCACAGACATTCCTCAGTGCCCGTCATATCATGAGACATCCATTGCGATGTCAGAGACACTCCAGGTGCTTTGATTGTAGGCAACTCAGGTTGTGGCACGTATCGTTACGCGTAGGCAACAACAGTTCATTGAGCATATTCGACGTGGCCGGGTGTGTCTCGATACAGGGCCAGAGAAGGGATTACCCGAATTGGTGTTGAGTTCTTATCAACGCGGCTTGACTAGGCATATTCTGGACCATGTATTTGAATATCTACCAGCTTGCGCTTACCGATTTGCTCTTCGGGCATCATTGCATCATTTCAAAGAGTGTCAGTTTGATTGTGGTCCATGGCATGGAGATCAAGATTGGTCTGCTGTCAATGTTGAATACTAAAACTCATACATAATTACAAGGGACAAGTGCTAGCAATAAAATTTCGCTTATCCCTTTGCTTTGGATGAGCGGCCTTCTAGAAGATGTAGAATTGCCTAAGGGGCCGGGGCTGTCGGCTCGGAATCAGGCATATGGCCCCCACAACCATATTAGCAGCAGAAAGAAAAATGCTTGTGCATGTCCCCCACTGACATTTCGCTGTCTGTCGTCCAGACAGCTGGTGCTAGCGATGGCCGATTCCTAGTTAGTCGCGGGACCGTGACTGATACTTATTTTCTCTTTCTGTGCAGGTTCTGAGATACAGACCGGGGCCTTGTTTATCAAGTGATGGTGACGACCTTTGATGTTTATTTGAACTTTGATCTTTCGTCTTTTCGTTCCCTTTTCAGGTGTGTTTGATGCCCTGTTCTTTTTTATTTCTTGCCAGTCGGCAACGTGACAGAAATGGGATGTTTTTGTTCGGAGCGATCCTGGTAACAACACACCTGTTCAGTGGTTGAAGTCATTCCAATGATATCGGCACGATGCAGCGCATTCACGGGCGAGGCAGTTATTGGCGGTACATCTACAAAATCAAAGTCACATCTCCAATGCCTTTCTTTCTTTTTAGGTGGACTTAACTGGGTTATTAGTCAGTGTTTGTATCTATACCTCCCCTTTCGATAATGTGGCTCTTGAGTAAGGGACGAGACCGTGCATGTCTTGCACAATCTCGCCTTGGTGCTTGTCAAGACAGTTTCAACGATGCACACCAAGATTTATGATGGGCGGAAGTGGCCTCCTTCCTACGAACATAGGTGCGTAGTAATTTTGTCCCTCGACAATAAACGCCAAAATAATGCAAGACTTCATCGAACTGGGCCACGGGAGTTTCGGGGGGTAAGGTGAGGTAATCGTTGGAGTGTATCCAGGTCAGGGATGTTATACATGGTGTGTGTCCTCTTCTCCGTGTTGCCGTGCATGGATACCTGGCCAGGTAGAAACATGTACCTGCTTCCTTAGCACCAGAGCCAAGACATGGCTCCCGCCCTGTTGGCTGTTCCCCAGGTTTTGTCGCTTTTGCCCTTGTTAAGTTGATTGGCGGCTTGTTACGTCGTCGTCTCACAGGCCAGCTCGCCCTGTCAATGCTGTTTACTGGTAACTTGTTGGCGGCATAGGTATCGTGCAATGACAGTAACGCCCTTGTCTGCCCCGGCTTTGGTTAGGACCTGGGTTGATAGTCATTCAAGTCAGGCTCAGGTTGGGTTGTGAGATGAGGTACCCGGGCTGCGTCGATAATGAGGTACCTTACTCATCTCATCCCATCCCCATCGTTTTGCTCCTTCCCTATCAATAACTCTCCCCTTTATAAACTGGCCTTCCACCCCCTTCCCCGGATTGTCCTTTTCTTATATCTTACCTACCTATCTGAAAAAGCTTTTCCTAATCATCCACTGCCTCGTCTTTGACTGCGGCCGCCTTGCATCCGTGCAAAATCTTTCAGTTGTTCTTGTTCCTTGAAGCCCTGGCCTAACTCTAACGATAGCGACCATTTCCAGATATTCTCTGGTTGCTGAGCTACCCCTTCCGTAGCGACCTCATAAGTTCAGGTCGGCGCAGAGAACTAAAAACAACGAAGGAAAGAAAACCTCGTTATCGGTACACGCTCGAGTCTACAGATACAAGATTCGGACCTAACGTGTATCACAAAGTCACTGGGGCTAGCTCCATCACATACCCACAGTTTACGCAAGCCGCTTTGTTTCTATTCTGGTATGTACTGTCTTTCTTGACTTATAAGTCAGCTTCACCCACGTCAATGGTTCTTCTCCTAACAACGCATTCACACAGAAACCCGACTCTGTTCCTTGTCCCTGAAGCGAAAAAGAAAGAACGAACGAAAGAAAGAAAAAATGCCTGGTCCACACTCCTCTTCAATCCAGGCTTCGCCCCGCAACATGAGGGTCGTCACTTCGCAAGACCTCCTCTACACCAGTATCACCGCTACTCTTTCCACTAAAACGAACCGTCCCTCAACTCCAGTCCATCATATCCAAGAGGATGACTATACCGTACCTGCTCCTCCCCCGCCCAGTCCTGTCAGCTTTAGGCCTGAACATTGGTCCACGTCTGGTCGCCGCTGAGCTGCAAGTCTTCTAGATGAGGAACTTCTAAGGCTCTGGCGATACCTCGCTACCTACCCATGCACCCCCGTAAATACTTAGAACTGGGCCAGGAAACCAATATTTTTGCCCTGGGGGAATGTTTTGTTGCTTTGTTATTTGTTCTGCCAGCGTTATCGCGATATCATATTAGTGCGCTCTGGAGTCTGGGTGCAAGTCAAATAATGGAAGTACGACAAGTATGTTTTTTTCATGCAAGCTATCATGAAGGTTGTGGATTTCGGATAATGGCGCATTGGTTTGATCCAAGGAGCAAGCAAAAAGTTTTATGGGCAGGTTTCGTTCTTGTCTCTTTCAGAAGATCAAACTATGTACAGCTCTCACTTGTTTCTTTTGATGGTTGTTGTTAATGAAGTTAGAGAACCAACGATTACTGCGGCTCTTGTACTATATGAATGCAATGTTTCAAGAGACTGAAATGCAATCCTGTGTGCCTAAATGATATCATGATATCCCAATACTGTCGCGCCGAGGAAAAATAACCCTGACTGACCTGCTGGACTATTCATACGTATAAAGCTCGTTTCCGGAGTACCCCGAATACTCTACAAATATAGGTACGTGTGCTTATCCATCGGGCCACCACACCGAAATATACTTGACCTGGGTTCATAAAGCAACGGTTTTACTACTATTAGCCGAACCAGTGTCGGGGGAGCACAGGTAGGGAGGGTTGCAACGACGTTCAGTTTGTCCTGGTATTGGGAGCACAGACAGACATTAACACTTAGACCCCCTTTCAAGCCATAGAGACATGTGGAAGAGGGTTTAAGTATCTCATTCGGAAGCTTAGTACCTTATAAAGATATTAACTTACCTAGAGCCTACAGAAATGTCATCAACGGCCTTAAAAGTACAGATCGGTTGTACCTGCTGACTCGTACCGGCACCTCAGGAGAAGTGCAGAAATTGACAGAGTTTAGACAACGGGAGCCGAGATGCGAACTTCCGAATAACAGTACCTAGGTTAAAAAAAGAAGAAGAAGAAAATTTCACTGTCATGAAAGCTCGTGCCTGGATTTGATCAGTCAACCTACCAATGCTCGAGATTGGAATTGGTACTCAAGCTTGGGTAGGTATATAGAAGATCCAGAGACATCTTCGGATAAAGCAAAGCGATAGTACGAAAAGAGGAAGGGGCTTGCCAGCATCTCCATGATCATTTCCATTAAACTCTTACATGCATTAAACTTAGCTCTGCGACCTCATTCCTTTCCAAGCCAACGAAGCACACATTTCGCAAATTCTGGCGCATGAATCGGGGGAAGCGAATATGCCAAGAACCCAACGAAGGCAGACAAGGAAAGCAGCCTGATTGGATTTCGAGAAATGTTGAACGCTGGGCGACGTACCTGCCTGCTACAGCGAGACGTCCAGTGTTATTACCGAAGTCTGAGGAGCTTGATCCGAAGCTTTTCAACGAGAACGAAGTGAGGGCACGGATCAAAATGTAGTAAGGATCTTGTTAACTATTAGGTATGGTTGAATACGGTAATGATATTGTTCTACTGGCACTCTAATATGACGATATTACCTCTGCTTGCAGGCCTCTGTCTTTTTGGCTTAGGTGCTCACGGAGAGTTGGATAGACCCGTGCACCACTTTAACTTTATTCGCGAGTTCGTGAGACAACTTTACGCGTACGAGACGCGGTGAGCGCGTTAGAACGCGTCTAGGTCTTCGCGTTTCCCTTGACGACGGAGCACATTCCAACTTTCTGTGGGTATGACTTCCACTTTCCAAGACATCACCTTTACTTTCCCAATCTTCGCAATTCTCTTCACTGCAACTTCCGTAATTGAGTCTTCTCATTTAATGACCTCCGCGACTTCCTTTCTTGTACAGATAGCTCTTGATATCTCGACATTCTTCTCTGCGCCTTCCACTTGAAATCGCTTCCTCACGTGTTTCTACTCTCAAAGAAACTTAAGGATGCCTCGACCGGCCAGGCGCAACCAAGCTGCACCTTCTGCTAGCCATTCCATTACCAACTTCACCCGTGTCTCGAAAACTTATACCCCAAACGATACTGCCAAGAAAACCGTCAGTCAACCTATATCTTCGGTAACCACCAGGAAGCGAAAAGCGGTCACAGACGGAGAAGATGCCCATCCTAGGATCAAGGCTCGAACTACCTCGTTTGCTCCAAGTAGTGACGACGAACTTGCCACACCTATAAAGCCCGTATCTAGAAACCTGGAACTGGTTTCAAACCTGATCAAGAAGGATATACCATTTGCAAAAGGCAAACGAACTGCAAAGACAACCCCTTCAAGGGCAAAAACTGCCCACAAGCCCATCGGAACCACACCTCTTTCTGAGAGCAAGAGGCAAGGAAAGACAGTACAAACCAAACTTGACAATGTATTCAAAACGCTGCGCAAGCCCATGGTGGACAAGGATGCCCTTCCTCTCCACCTTGCTGAGCTCGTTGACATACACCGATCATTTGTCAAGACGATTATGATTCAATTTGCTCATAACGGCAACAATTCACCTATCGACGTACGCACACTTGCGCCACACATTTCTCAGTCGTGGGGTAAACGCCAAGTCACTATCGAGGATATCCGACGATGCATCGCTATACAGACTTCGACAAAGACCAACACTCATTCACCATTCATGATTGTCGATTATGGCCGGGGAAAGATTTGTGTTGAGCGCTCTTCTGTCGACATGGCGATCAACGAAGAGCGTTTGCTGAAGCAATTTGAGGTAAATTTGAGAGCATTAGGCACCGAACGCTCTGCCGACGAAATGGATATTGACCTTCCGTTGGATAACCTCTCACTGAACGAGCTTCCCCAAGTGGATATAAAGAATATGGACAACAGAACAACAGCGAATCCAATTCTGAACAAAGGACAGCGTGCGTTGTCAGAGCTTAAGAGTGGCATTGCGACCAAGCAGCACGAGAAGGCAGCAAAACAAAACGCGGCATCCAACAGCCCCCTTCTCAACCCAGATGGCACAAAGATGAGCCTTCTCGATCGATTACGATTAAAGCAATTAGCTAAAGCCAACGAGCCACTTCCCCCTACCGGACCCGAGCTTCAGCGACGTGCGGCTCTCAACCGCGTGGGTGATGTTGCAGCAACCATTTCAATGCTGAGCCTATCCAATCCAATGTCTCTGCCACGACAGGCCTTTACGATGGCAGTTATACTCGAGAAGCTCAAGGACTCTCTCCGGGTCCCGGTATCCAAGGAGGAGGGCGCAACTTGCGTGCGTTTAATCGCCAGCGAGGTTGCTCCGGAGTGGCTGCGAGTCGTTACAATCGGAGGCAGGGAAAACGTGGTTGTACAGCGTAACAGCCAACCCGTCGATAGAGTACTACAGAATCGTGTACAGAAGTTGTTGACCTAGGAATGATGACGGAGGAACTGTGGGACACATGTTTAGATATGAGAATACCCCGGAGAGGCATGGCTTTTGACCGAGACTAGTGGATAAGCATATACACAAGCATTGGGAGGAGTTGGCGTTCTAGCATTTAATACTATGACAGAACTTGTATTACAACTTGGTGTTTGCTTATAGGTGCTGTAATAATAAACCGGATTAAACAGAAATTTGGACCGTACAGGGCTATTAGTGGTGCAAAGAGAATCACATTGACCAGATTTGCATCCATCCGTGCTCGAATTTTTGAGAGGCGATTTTGTCATACCGGAATACTTGACGGTGACCCCCGAACAAAAAGTGGATTCATCACGACCGAGTCGGAAGCACCATTCCGACCCGCCAGACCACATCCGAAGACAAGCGCCGATGTCCGGGTTATTCCCAAAACAAACCAAAATTCAGCATAAGAAATGTGCCGGAATGTACTCCGAAGTCTCAAGAGTCACCCACAAATGTCCCCATCTTGGGACTTGAAAGGGACGCGTTTCGTCCGCTTCGTCACGGATGTCGTTTACCGCAACGGAGCTGATCGGGAATAGGTGCGATGTGGATTGCAGACACACCAGATATTATGCATCGGTGATGATTGATAACTTTAGGTTCGGATGTGATGAAGAAATGGGGAGGGGGGTGATCCCATGTTTGGTACTGCTTTTGTTGGAGTTTGATAATCGAGGGCTCTTAAGGATTAAATCTGCATGTTCCTTGTGGGGAGCTCCCAAGTGCTACTATACCTTGTAGCTACTGATCTTTTGGTGCCGTTTGATTTATTACTTTAAATTCCCATACTTCTAGGAAATGTTCAGTTGTTATACCATTTTTGTTTGAAGCGGGACTGCAAATCCACATTCTTTCCAGAAACCCAAATCAATGTCTAGAGCCCAACGCTTACCATGCTGAAGACATTACATGATTCACACGATGAAATATCATCATCTGCCATGAGCGAGACAGAGTCTTCTCCACGGATTGCGGTCCGAGTCGCAACCCAAGAGGCTATCAACCGCACAACGTCACACATATCGGGCCACGATGCTTTCGAACCGGCTGCCACTATCACTGCCCCAGATGGCAATGTGCCTTACCGAGAGGCAGGTGATGAGATCTTTGACAAAGTTTCCTCGAGACGCAAAGTTGCTATCGTGACCGTCCTGTCATTTGGGGCATTCCTATCACCAATATCGAGCACTTCAGTGTTAGCAGCAACACCAGAGGTTGCGAAGACTTACAACAGTACGGGAAGCATTATAAACCTTAGCAATGCAGCGTATATGATTGTTATGGCGTTATCCCCTTTATTCTGGGGACCCATGAGCCAGGTTTATGGAAGGCGGAGTGTAAGTGCTTGTGGTGAACTTCGGTCGGTGCTCTTGTTGGAACCAGGTGGTCAATTAGTTCCTCAAGTTTTAATGCAGTGCCCGACAGCAAGAAGAAACACTGACAACCCGATAGGCAGCCTTGTCCTCTTCGGCCATATTCTTCTTACTCAGCCTAGCCACTGCATTGGCCCCTAATCTCGCCTCATTTATCGTCTTTCGGGCTGCTTCAGCGTTTGGGGGAACAGCTTTCATTCTCATCGGCCCAGCATGCATTGGGTAAGTCGTCGCGTTTTCCGTTCTTCTACCTATAAACTGTCTCATATCTTTGAGAGGATCCCAGGTCAAAGGTAAGACAGCGAGCCTTCTGATCGGCGGGCTGAACATTCACTTGGATTTGCTCAGTAATCATACTCTGAGTGACCAAGCTCTGGTGTCTGCATTTTTATTCAAACGGCCAGCTCGCTCTTCACGGAGATTCGATACTAACGAGTGCTCTCTGACAACCATTGATACTAATAAAGAATAGTGACATCTACCGTCCAATAGAGCGTGGTGCAGCAATGGGATGGTTTCTGACCGGCACGCTTGTCGGTCCTGCGTTTGGACCATTTTTGGGTGGTATTATTGTAACATATTCATCCTGGAGGAGTATCTTCTGGCTTCAGACAGGACTGGCTGCTGCTGGGGCACTGGGAGTGTACTTTGTTGTATGCGAAACAGCCCATCACCTCAAGATCAATGATCTGAAAAGCCTCTCGGGCAAGAAGAGGGCACTGAAGATTCTCGGCATGATCAGTCCGATGCGAGTCTTGCGGCTATTTCAATTCTTCAATATTGCACTGGTGGCTTGCGGTAGTGCATCCTTAACCTGGAACATGTACAGCCTCCTGACACCGATCCGTTATGTTTTGAATCCCCGCTTCAAGCTCGACTCACCGTTGCTATCGGGTCTGTTTTACCTGGCGCCCGGCTTCGGCTACCTGGTAGGGACTTTCGGAGGAGGGCACTGGGCGGACATGATGGCCAAGCGATGGATCAAGAGGCGTGGAGGTGTCCGAATACCGGAAGATCGACTTCGATCCACTCTGCCTTTCATGGGCGCAATCATGCCGGGAAGCATGCTGGTATATGGCTGGACTGTCGACAGAGAGGTTGGAGGTATTCCGGTGCCAGTCATTGCCATGTTCGTACAGGGCGTGGCGCAATTGTTTTGCTTTCCCTCGTACAACACATATTGTCTCGATGTCATGCCTGGTCAAGGGGCAGAGGTGGCTGCCACGAACTTTTTCGCAAGATATCTGGTTGGATGCATCGCTTCAGCTGTGGTCCTGCCAGCAGTCGAAGCAGTCGGCATTGGATGGTTTTCAACCATCTCAGCGGTGTACTTGATAGTCTCAGCTCTTGCGACTATGGCTGCAATTCGATGGGGGAAGGGCTGGCGAGAGAGAACTCAAGCGAGGCTAGAGGGTCCCAAGGAAAATGAGAACGAGGCCAAAGTCGATCATGATATGGATACAGATCGATACAAAAGCGCTCAAATATTAGGACCAAGCTCTGCGTTTGTCAGGAGTTGTCCAGAACAGCAGAGCCGAGACATGGGTCGTGAGACCTGATTCTTGCAAAGGGATGAGATAAAATAGCGACAGCTTACGGAGGCATTACTAGTCAGTAAAATAAGATCAAGCTTTACAACGAGACAGAGTAGCTAGCATTTGGAGTAGAATTGGGAATCTAATGGTGTAAAAGTGAAGTGGTGAAGTTATTTGGCGTTTCCGCAAGTCCTTATTGTTCCACGCAAACAAGTGCTGCCACCTTGGAAGGACTAGTACAAAATACAACAGGGCGGACGCATTGCACTCATCAATTGCATGTAACAGATACAATATATTATGGGAGAACTGCCAAAGATTGACTTTCTTCCGTATACATGTGAAATCATCGGTTACTGGACTCGGCTGTCACCCCAGCCTTAGCCAGACGGGAACCGAAGAACCTGGGAGCTAATAATAAGCCAGCCTTACAGAATTTTCCCCGTGGCTACTGTTGCACTACGGGACCTTACCACTTTGCCCATTTGCTGACAGATGTGACCAACCGATGAGTAGATCGATGCAAGGCGATGTTGTTTTGCGGCATCATTAAATTAGGAATGGTGCGGAGAATGGAATTGTAGTGCAGCCAAAAGATAACGCAACTTTAACATTAGGCTTAGTGTTAGGCTTAGGCTCATGCGGTTTTGCTGTTCTCTTCGAATTCAAGGTTACACGATACTACCTTAGCCTCAACGTCTTGGCCTGTTAGCCGATACGATGCGATACGATAGGCTCAGGGGGACAATACATGAACACCGTTGCGAAATGCAAGAAAGAATACTCTGTTCGTGTCGAGTTCTTGCGTGCAACGCAACGCAGCATGATGGGCCACACTAGTATTGGCCTCTGTTGGGGGTGAGATTTTGAGGGAATCCGGCCCGCAAGTCAATCTCAATCCCAGTTGAGTTAAGTGGTTGAGATGAGAAACAAAAATAAGATGACACCGATGCAGGGCTGGTCAATTGGCGCGTGGTGACTGGACAACACCAGCCTTTCCAACTTGGCATTACCGCGAGACCCGCCCCATTTGAAATGACCTTGCACAGCTTTGGAGATTGGATTCTCTACAATGGCTACCTCTAGTATCAATTGGGATTGGGGACTTGAGGAAATGACCACGACCCAGTCAATCATCCTCAGGTAACAATAAACTTGCTAGCTGCCAAGGAATATGTTGATCAGAAAACGGCGGATCCTCTTTTGAGGTACATAAGTCAACACTCGCTTAAGAATACGAAGGCATCGGATCTCAAATATCAAGCATATTCAATTCTACTAATGAAGAAACACGGTGGATACGATAATGCGTTATACTTTTGCAACGACATCGGCAAAACCTCAAATAGACTCGGGAACCCCCCCACAGCATGGTCAGTGGCACCATCCCAGTCAGTGAGCCCTGTGGCAGCATAATCGCCAGCAAGACGTTACACGGACGAAACACGAGAACGGGGATATATTATGTGAAAGGGTTCGTACAGTAATAATTACTAGGTAGTACGTCTCCAACAATAGAACATGCTGAGTCACGGTTGCTTCTGGTGGTTCTGTTCATATTCACAGTACGTACACACGATGGTGACAGACAACAGAAGACACCGTGGTGAACGATGAGCTAATTAACAACCTGTCAGCAATTTGCAACGTCTTGTAAGCAGAAAGAACCCGAGCAGGCAAGGCCATCCATCTGCAGAACTGGTTCGCTCACCCCTTGCACGCACTAAAACGCCCAGTTTGTGACTTTGTGTCAGCAAGTGAGCAGCCCTTTGGCAATTTCTTGCTGCCAGCCTTGGTCCATCTGAACATGTGCGGTTTATTATTGTCAACTTTCCTCACCAGCCCCCTGCCGCTTGACTTCATTTAGAGGTACCTGCCACCTGTGGCGCTGGCGTCTTCTCGCGATGCAACCATGGCTAAAAGCTTGGCCAAGAAAACAGTTCAAACTTCAACGGTCATGGATCTACGCTTCGGCCGAATCACAGAGCGGAATAGTTGAGAATAGGTGAACTCGCCGTTACTCTACTATAGGTAGAATCAACTGGGCATGCAA